TTGACGGTTGTAAAGTATTTAGTTGCTTACATTTAGTTTAGCAACCTAAATAACTGGATTAGTTTTTAAAAGTTGTTTTGGATGCATAATAGGGTCTTATACATATTAGATTCTGTTATGTTTCTCCTGGATTTAATTGAAGAGTTAATTACATATTTTCTATCAATTACATGGATGTTGGTCTGGTTTTAATTGAAGAATTAGTAAATTATATTTCTGTCAATTACATGGATGTATACTAGATTTCGAATTGATGAATTATTAAATCTTGTCTCGTTAATTACATGGATGGATTCTGGAATTTAAATTGACGAATGATTAAATTTTGTCTCGTCAATTACATAGATATTATTATGGATTTTTAATTGATAAACTGTTTAAATTATGTTTTTATCAACTATATGGATTATGTGGATTTTATTTGATGTGCTGTTTAAAGTGTTGCATCATTTATGGATCATATGCATTATATGCACTGGTATGGGACGGTGGCATATGGAGGGACGGATTAGATCAAAACGCTAATTCCTACCCATTCATACATACGGAATGGATTAACTAAAATAGTTAAATCTTATATGGTTTCATGTCCTGTCAACTAAAACATTTGAACGATATATTGGATGGTTGTTTATATTTCTGTATTAGGAAGGGTAAGGATTTAATTAAAACATTTAAATCCTAATTATTTGTCGTGTCTGGACGACGAACAGTTGACCGACACAACATTGTATTTGGATGAAATTTATATATATATAATTTATGGTACCGCGATATGAGCTTCAGTCTCAGGATTGTTGGTTAAGGAGCGTATATGCAGTAGGATGCGTAGCTGGCTGTGTTGGTTGAGGTATACCCTATTAGGCTTAGGTAGTCATGCCCACTTATGTGCGTTTTGCATGTTGCCTTCTATTCAGGTTGAGAGCCTCATCATAGTCTAGTGAGAGTCCTGTAGTGTGGATATATATATATATATATATATATATATATATTTACGGACTATATAGATATGGTTGAGGCATCTAGGATGTATCTATATAGATATGGTTGAGGCATCTAGGATGTATCTGCGTATCGGGTCCCTGTTTGGATTGTAGTTAGGATAGAACTTGTTTGTGAGCCTGACCTACTATTATTTTTCAGGTAACGGACAGTTCCAGGTCTTAGAGCTTGATCGTGCTAAGCAGAGACGGCTACTCATTCTTCCGACGATGTAGGAGTTTTCTTCACGGTTTAGCATTGGATTTTTTTTGTGTTGTTGTTTTTCAGAGTTGGAGTTATATTAGGGGTCCAGCAAATGGATTCCCGAGTTGTATTAGAAATGGAGAAGTTGAATGTATCACAAGAGTTTCTTATTTATAAAATTTATTCTTGGGTTTCGGTTTCTGGATTATCATTTTAGTTTTTTTCAGCAATTTTATTTATTCCTGTTTATCTTAATTGTATTCTGTATTCGTTTATTACTAATTGTTTTGATATCCTCGGGTAGTCGGGCGTAGGCCTGGCCAACCCGCATCCGAAAATTCGGGGGTATCACAAGGGTTCCCTTAACGGTTAAATCACTAAATGACAAAACAATCTTCAGTTAAATGATCGAACTGTCATAGGAATTCCCTTCTTATATTTCTTTACTTTTGGCTTCGGACCACGAGGAATCCAAAGTCCCCAGAGAAAGAATTTATCTTAAAAATAGGAGAAGCTATTCAGTGGCTATATGCAACCCAGAAACACCCATAGATATGCAAATTTCCAAAGGCAAATTCTCAAAAGCAAACATAAAAATTAAAGCAATTACTGTTTGCAAACAAAATTAATATTATCTTAGAGCAGAAATTATACAAGTTCACTTCCTTTTTGGATCAAAAGGAGCAGAATCAAAAGCGTCCACCACATTCGGACTTGAGGTTGGAGGGCTTAACGGGTTTGAAGATGGATGAGCTGACGAATTTGGAGTTGGATGATCCTCCTGGTGAGACTTCACTATCTCAACGAATAGCACCTCAGCTTCTTGGGCCTGTGGGCCCTCAGCATAAGGGAATGACACTTCTATGTCAGCGTCAAAGGCTTCTGGGTCATTCAGTTTGTCACCTGAGCCCTGGCTAAAGCCGAACCTGAAGGCCTTTGCACTGGATAAGCGTACCAAGGTGGAGTAGCGTCCTTGCATTTGTTTCCCAGTAGTGATGCAGGTGCCAGTTGCATCTTTCAAGCGCTGGTTCTCAGCTTCCAATGCCTCCACCTTGGCTTCAGATGCTGCCAAGCGATTCTTGTAAACATCCCTTGCCTTAGAGGCTATTTTTGCACTCAGAGCTGCATTAGAAGCCTTATTCTCAGCATTGGCAAGGTCCTTCTCCAGTTTCTTGATAGAAAGGGATTGAGCCTCAGCAGTGGCACATAGGGCCATGGTATGGTACATGTTCTACATAATTAGCGATAATGTAAAAAAATATGAAAGGAAAGTAAGGCAAATATCAAAGCAGAAGAGAAATATGAACTTTTATAGCACGAACAGGGGCAGAAGGAAGCAGTTGGTTTAGCCCCATGTTGCCAATGATTTCCTCACCCTTTAGTAACCACATTCCCCTAGCTACTGCCAAAGCAGCAGAAGGGTCAGTGACTACGGAATCTCCAGAGTGAAGAATTGACTTGTCAGCTCTGGAGAAAGTGGGCCTCTAAGGTTCTCCAGCCTCAGCTAGGATGTAATCCCTAACCTCAGTCTTAGGGTCAGCTTTATTAGCCTTCTTCCCTTTACTCTTGGAGACATTCTTGCCCTTGCTAGTAGAAGGGGGGTTCTGCCTTGTCTTCTTCAGAGGAGGTTCGTCAACCTCCTTCTCATGCTCAGTGGAACGAATAACGACAAGAGGCTGATCCTCTGCCGCTTTCTTCTTAAGAGTTTCAGCTCTTTTCTTCTCCTCATCAATAAGAAGGAAGCTGTCAAAAGAAGGAAGGGTCAAATCCATGAGGTTAGTTGCTGCAATGCTGGAAGTGATTTCTTTTAAATTGCACGAAGTAAGCAACTCCTAAATGGATGGGGGATCAATCCAAACCTGTTCCTCGAGAAAGGAGAGCCTATTCTTAGCTGCTGAGGAGGGGAAGGTCACTGGAAAAACACTAAGAAATTTATAAGTGTGACGAAAGAGTAAGACTCGACATGGGAAACAACCAGAGCACTTGTCATGAAGGGATGGAAAATATTCTATACCTAACTTTCCAAATTTGTGTGGGATTAGGAGTTTGCTCGATTGAGACACAGCCCAATTCCCTTTAACAATTATCATCCGCTCTTTCCATTTCTTCTCGAAATTAGGAAGGTCCGTACATATCCTCTGTTGAAGAGAGGAAGTAAAATAAAAACAACCAGGCTCGGTCCCATGCCTGGAGATGGTGTAGGTAAATAGCAGGTCAGCGAGAGTCAATTCAAGACTCTCTAACCTTCGGCGGACCAAAAGTGACGAGTCTATTCGAAGAAAGCTAGGGTTTACTTGAAGCGGGGCAAGACCTAACTTATTGAAGATCAAATGATGGAAGAGATGAAGAGGAAATCGAAGAGCATTAAGGTGCCCAACCGATAAGAGCAATTCATTCTCTCTGACGCCTTCACCGGAATTGAAATCGCTTCTTTGGGGTATTCAACAATTTCTACCCCCTCGGGGATTTCAAATTCTTCCATTACAGACTCAATGGTGAATTTGAGACGACGGATAAACAAAATCATCTTTCTCTCCTCTTTGGTGAAAACACCATCTGACCCGGAAGTAGATACTTCGGCTTGTGGTCGAGAAATATCCATTTGATTGACTGAATCGTTCGCAAATTCAAGAGGGTCACAAACCTTAGGAGGAGGAACCCTAATGAGAATAGGGGAAGATGAAGTAGGTGAAGTGCTCATTATACGAGATTAAAGAAGTAACTGGAAAACTAACTTGGAATTGCGCTGAAGCAGAGAGCACAATGAACGCAGTGAAGCCAAAAACAAGTTGCGGTGGTCAGAATATCAGTGGTTTCTCCTCGAAACCGCCTCTTACAAAATTGGCAATCGTATAACTTCAATTCCATTCTAATTAGGAGCCGTAAACTAATTAAAAAGGGAATTGGGGGCAAAGTGTGGAAGGAAAAATCTCCCTTCAATAAAAGTCATCCACATAGCCACAAGATAAATTTTACTTTTAATCTCTTGACGGGTTACAAAAGCCCAACCCTGTTCAAGCCCGGATAAAGACACCAATAGCCCAAGGTCGCTAGTGTTGAACTTCCGGCCTATTAACAATGTTGTTTGGACCAAGATGCATTCGGCCCAAATTCCTTTAAAGAAGGAATTAGTCCTGCCAATCAAAGGAATCATGATAGAAGGAAGTTATATTAAGGAATGTTTAGCATGGAAAGAATTATGAAAGGGAAATAGTTCTATTTGTAAAGAATGATGTATATGGAATGAATTAGAGGACAAGTAAGGCGAGTCCTACCGTAATTCTGCCACCTTTTGTATATAAATAGAGGCCTAGACCTCCAATAAAGATCATCGAGCAATATACACTTCTCTCTGAATTGTTCTTGTTACTTATTATCTTATTTTGAGAGAGTTGCGTTATTTCTTTTTAATTCTTTTATAGACAGAAATTTTGCACCTACAGTGTAGGTGGTGGTTTTGGAAGGTAGTGGTAGTGGAAGGCAGCAAGGTGTTGGTAGAAAGAAGTGGCGGTGGCGGTGGTGGTAATGGTGGAAGACATCGGTGGTGTAGGTGATGATGGTGGAAGGCAGTGGCATGATGGTGATGGAAGATGGAAGATGAAAGTGGTGTAGGTGGTGATGGAAGGTGACGATGGTGGAAGGCAGTGGAGGTGACGGTGGTGGAGGAAGACGGTAGTGGATGTGGCGGTGGTGGAAGTCGGTGGAGGTGGCGGTGCGATAGTGGTGATGAAAGTTAGTGGCGGTAGTGGTGGAGGTGGAGGTGGAGGTGGAAGTGGCAGTGGTGGTAATGGAAGTCGGTGGCAGTAGAGGTAGGAATGGCGACGGTGGTGGTGGAAGGTGGTGGTGGTGATGGAAATCTGTGGTGGAAGTCGGTATCGGTGGAGGTGGAGATTGCGGCGGCGGTGGTTGAAGGTGGTGGTGGTGGCGGAGGCCGTGGAGATGTTGGTAGTGGTGGAGGTGGAGAAATTATTCATTGTAAGCGTTGCAACAATGATGTGGTACAACAGAAGGCTACAAACACTCCACCAAAGCATATATTTCAGCTTTTTGGTTTTATTGTAAGTCAACTTTGCTTTGGTGGAGTGTTTATAGCCATCTGTTGTACTACGTTATCGTCGCAACGGTTATAATAAATAATTTCTCGTGGAGGTGGCAGCGGTGATGGAAGTTAGTGGCGGTAGTGATAGATGAGGCAGTGGAAGGTAGTGGAGACGGTAGTGTGATGGTTATGGAAGATAGCTACGGTGGTGGCAGTGGCAGTAACGGTGGTGGAAGTGGTGGAATGTGGCGGTGGCTAAAGGCAGTGGAGGTGGCAGTGGCTAAAGGCAGTGGAGGTGGCGGCGGTGTGTTGGTTAAAGGTGGCAACATTGGTGGCGGTGGTAGTGGCAATAACGGTGGTGGAAGGCAGTGGAAGTGGTGATGGTGAAAGTTGGCGATGGTTGTGGTGAAAGGTGGTGGTGGTGGTGGTGGTGGTGGTTTTTGGACTTGGAGTATGAAAGTTTTTTGTGAGCTTGATTTTTTAAAAAATATTACTTGGGAATGGAATGGTCATTTCAAAAGTTTAGTTGGGGATTTTATTTTCATTTCCAGGAATAAACTTTCATTTCAATGAAATGGCTATTCCAACTTTAAATTGCATACCAAACAAAACTTTTCCACTCACGACTGACCCTCTTGCACCCCCATAAAGTCGCTGCAAGACGACCAGCAGTTCCGTTTTCCTTCTGGTTGGCTAGCACTGGTGAGGATGGTTGGAATGGACATTTCATTCCATTTCATTCTGCATATCAAACGTAGCATAGGCTAGAGAAGAAGAAAAGGACAAAGAGCAAGGAGAAAGAGAGAAAATTATTTAGAAGATGAAGTATCAATGTTCAGAAAGGTCTTTGCTGTCAATTTCTTCGACCACCATTACCCTTGCTAACCTTCTCTTTCTCTCGAAATGTGATTAAATTAGTTTTGGAAATGGGAGCTGTGTTTGTATATTGATACTTTAGGAATGAGTTACTAAAATGCATGCTACACTATCATATTATGGTACATAATCAAATCAACAATAATCTAACAGTAGTAATTCACACACACACGCACATATATATATATATATACACATACACATACACATACACACAAATACATATATATTATTATCTCCGTATCAAAATAGTGTTCACATACATTAATATATGTGACTCACTATTACAGGAGGGAGTATTATATATTATATATTATAATATTATTTATTTAAATTGAATTATATTATTATCGGAACCGATAAATCTTAATTCATATTTGATTTGTAGTCTACTGAATTAATTACTGTATTTTCAAATAGATAATCATACACACACACACACTGACTTCTTTATGACAAAGACAATGCAGTACAAGAATGGTAGGTGACCAAATTAATTAGTTGATCTTACCTTTTCTTATTAATCTCTTCTCCAAGGTGGATATACATCATATGGCAAAGAAGGTGCTATTGCACATATAACTCTCTCAAGCTATCATTGAGAGTACTAGTGTTTCTGATGGCTGCCTCCGTCGGTGCAACTGTCGTTTATGATCGGATGAAAGAAGTGAAAGAATTCGATGAGTCCAAAATGGGGGTCAAAGGTCTTTCTGATTCCGGCATCACCACCATCCCTAGCTTCTTCGTTCACCCTCCCCAAACCCTCTCCCATCTCAAATCTTCTTCCGCGTGCACCACCGGAATCCCAGTCATCGATCTCTCAGACATAAATTCCGATGTCCATAGGCCGAAGATTGTCCAACAAATCCGAGAAGCTGCCGGAACTTGGGGGTTCTTCCAGGTGATCAACCACGGCTTGCCGGTCTCTGTAATTGACGAGACCATCGCAGCCATCAAGTCGTTCCACGACCAGCCACCGGAGGTGAAGGCGAAGCACTACAAACGTGAGGAGGGACGCGGTGTGATGTACAACAGCAACACTGACTTGTATCGAGCTCAGGCGGCCAGCTGGCACGACGCGCTGCAGTCGTGGATGGGGCCGGAGCCACCCAATGCGGAGGACATACCGGTGGTGTGCCGGAGGGAGGTGGTGGAGTGGGACGTGCATGCAAAGGTGTTGGGTGAGACAGTGATGGAGTTATTGTGTGAAGGTTTAGGGTTGGAGTCTGGCAAGTTCAAAGAGTTGACTTTTTCTGATAAGAGGCTTTTTGCGGGAGTGTGTTACCCTTACTGTCCTCAGTCCGATCTGACGATGGGGATTACATCACACACTGATCCTGGGTTTTTGACGGTGTTGGTGCAGAACCAGGTGCATGGTTTGCAAGTTAAGCATGGTGAAGATTGGGTGGATGTGAAGCCTCTTCCTGGAGGGATGATAATTAACATTGGAGACTTTCTTCAGGTGAAGTACTCGCAACATAACCACAAGCAATTTTTTATTTTTTTATTATTTATTTTTAATAATCAAGGATATAGAAAATAAATAAATTTCAGAGTTACTAATATTAGAAAGAAGTTCATATTCTTCCGTACAGTTATATTTTAATTAATTAGAATGATACAAAATATTTTTGATTTGGTTTGTGGGGGTAACTCAGATCGTTCACATATCATGAGATTGAAATCACACTTGTTCACACTCCTATTTAATTTTAACTTACCAAGGATTGTCTATCTACGGTATTTCATCAATTTTTTTTTTTATAAAAAACACACAAACTCACATGCTCCTTCAAAGTTGTGATTATAGGACAGCCAGAGGGGTACAATTACGTATCTACCCCTTAATTAACAAAAGGACAATAAAGGACCTTAAGGAAAATAGAGAAAAAAAAAATAAACTTGATCACTAAATATTCAGCTCTGTCTCATACTTTTCTCTCTTTATTTATTTACTTTTTTACTTTTAAAATAAAAATTGTAAGGTTTTTTTTCCTTCCTAAAGTTCAAACAAACATTAAATTGATAAAGCAAATTTCACGAAACTTTCAATACTATCAGTTTTTTTATCAAATACCCCCAACCCACTTTAGAAAACCCTTTCTAAGCCCCTAACACTATGAAATTTGATCACATTGCCCCCAATTTTGCTGTTAAATGACAAAATTAACCTTCTGATATACCAATTTATTTAAAAAAGCATAAATTAGTATTTTACAAATTACATAAATAACCTTAATGAATTTTGCCCATATATATATATTTCCATCTCCATTACATCCGGCAATTACAGCGCCACCATCGGCGACTGCCGCAGCACCACCATCCCCATCTTCGTACCTGACACCACTATTTCCAACCCACAACCACTAGCGGCCAATTGAAGGCTTGTATCATTTGGTCTTAAAATCTACCCAACCAAGCTTCTTAAAACCTAGCTCTTCCCTGTTTGGTCTTCAATTGAAGGCTTGTATCACAAAATTTCAGAGTCGTCATCGTTCCTGCCGTGCCCGAAGCACCAAGTAGAATCGATTTTCAGGTGCAAAGACCAATTACAGTTCATGACTTGGACAAAATTCTCAATTTTAGATAAGTAATTCTCCTCTGTCGGTGATATTGTTGATCGGCGTCAGAATTAATTGCTCGTTTGGCTCCTTCGAAGGGGTCCCTTACATCCTCGGAGAGAGAGGAGGTTTCACTGTTAGGCTGAAAATGGAAGCGAGGTCGTTTGGGAGTGGGCCGGAGAGCACCAGCAATTCAACTGCTTCGTCGCCCAAATCGCGACATTTACACACCGATTCGATCAGTTTGGATAGCAACTTCGTCTCAGGGCCTCCGGCGGGGTTTGCCTCGTTGCAAAGGTAGCCGTGGGCGATCAATTTCTGGATGCAATCGACGGCGGGATCAGCGATCTTGACGTTCTCGGAACTGCAGGCGTTGATTATGGGGGTGAGGATGAAGTCGCAGTCGGCGAGGGAGTATTCGGCGGTGGGGCCGAGGACGCCGGGGAGAGATGAGGTGTAGGGCTATGATTGGTCGTCGGGGGAGGTGGGAGAGAGAAATGGCTTCTCCGGCAAAATGAGTCTCTCGAGGAGGAATTTGCATTGGTTGGCGAGTTTGGAGTGCTAGCACCAAGAGCCTTGCTTGATGATCTTCTCTAGGGCTAGGATGAGGACCTGGTTCAGACGGGAATCAGCTTTTAAAGAAGCCATTCCTGAGGGGTGAGAGATCTCGGTGGAAACTGAAAATTAAGGAGGTGTTGAGGGTTTTTTTAGTCTTTTAGATGAGCTCAGAAGGGGTGGTTCCAGTGAGAGATCCAATCAGTGGAGGAACATGGTAGTTTGAAGTTCGTTTAGAGAGAGAGAGAGGGAGGAGGAGAAGGGGGAGAGAAAAGCTATTTTTGTAATCCGTAAAATACTAATTTTGACTTTTTTTAATTAATTTGGTATATCATAAGGTTAATTTCGTCATTTAATCGCAATTAGGGTCATGTGATCAAATTTTATAGTGTTAAGGGTTTTCTAAAATAGGTTGGGAGTATTTGAGAAAAAATTAATAGTATTGGGAGTTTCGTGAAATTTATCCAAATTAATATAATATTTTTTTAGATGTGTTTTAATTGAATATAAACACTAAACAGCCTTGTTGCTAAAATGCATAAATAGGTGTCATTGTTCAAATGGTGTCTAAATTGTAATTGAGTATCTTTAATCATGGCACGGGTGAGTGCAATTTACCCATATATATATATCATATGTGCAATGATGATGGCAGTAGTTGTACTGTTGTGTAATATATCTATATAGAGAGAGAGAGAGAGAGAGAGAGAGAGAGAGGGAAATGATACTTAAAAAATAAATATTCTTATTTCATGCATAAATACATGTAAATACACACACACTCCCTCTATCTAAAAATTTTTGGATATTTTGATTTTTTGAGCAAGTATTGATAAGAGTGAATTTTTAAATTTATGTTGATTATAAAATAAAAGAGTACTCCATAAGTAATGTACTTGTTTAATGAAGTCAATGTTAAAAGATAGTTTGAAAATATTTTCGAGATATAAATTGATATAATAACATGTATACACGTGTGTGTGTGTGTGTGTGTGTGTGTGTGTGATTTATGCTAGAATCTTTTTGTTTTTATACGCAGATAGTGTCCAACGGCGAATACCAAAGTGTTCAACACAGGGTGGTGGCCAACTCCTCAAAGGAACCTCGCATCTCAATCGTCGTGTTTTTCAACCTCAGCAAGTGGAAAGAATCTCACTACTATGGACCTTTATCAGAATTGTTGACCCCGGAAAAACCAGCTATATACCGCAATTTCACCATGCAAGAGTTCAATGAAAACATCTATAGCAAGGGATTGGATAGCAAATCTCTAATAGATAAGATCACAATATGAGTGAGGACCATGCATGCGTAGTGTAACAGACTCCGTAACTTGTTTATTTTTACGTTATTTCGATATCCATGCATTATACATAGTTATTTGTCAAATTACTTTGATCAAGAGTTTCAACTAAAGAAAAAAAAAAAAAAAAAAAACTTTGATCAAGAGTTGAGTACATTTGGGCTTAAGGTCTTATTCAATAACTTTGGTTAATAAAACTTTACGCATTTTATTTAATGGAAAAATTCTGAAACAATATATATATATATATATATAATGGAAAAGATTTAGGGCACACTAAATGGGATGGGATGAAAGACAAACTAAAAGAAAGCTGGGCTAAGAAGCCAAAACCGGCCCACAAAGAGCCAATACAATTTTAAGACCTAAGAGGCATCTCTGAGGCAACCCATACAAGCCCTTAGCAGTAGGCCATAAAGCCCCAATTCTTCAGAGAGAAAACAATCCGGTGGTATCTGCACTTTATCCTCACCACTGTGAATGGGGAGGATTCTGATAATGGCCGATAATGGTCATTCGGCGGAACAGGGGGTGGTCTGATGCCCATATTACACGAACCTTCCCTTTGCTAGTCTAAATTACACTTGCCTCTCTTCATGTTTGTATGTAGACTTTTAACGAACAACCATTAATCGTCAGCATAGTCAACTATTGAAAAAGATGATGTAAACAATTTTCCATATTTAAAGTTCTAAAGTGCCCTTAGAGTTAGGAATGGCAACAGAGCAGGTTTGGGACGGAGTTGGCTAAACCTTACTCCGCTTCGTTGGAAAACCATCCATACCAACTCTAATCCTACTCCAGGACGGTTTTTTAATTCGTATGCCATCCCCGCTTCCGCAGGACAGATGAAGTATCGACTCCACCTCGCTTCCTCCATTTAATTTATTACAATAAATTAAACTATGGTAAATAAATGGAGGTGAGTGGCTTATTAATAAAATTAGAAGTGAAATTTGCAGCATAAAATAAAAATCAATACCTTATTGAGAGATGCAAAAATATAATGTAATGAACAAATAAACACCTCTAACATGAAAATGAAAAATTCAAATTCAAATTAAATACATATGTGTGTGTGTGTGTGTGTGTGTATATATATATAATTGGGTTTGGGCGAGGCAGGTTAAACACTAAATCCGCCCTCGCCCTAATCCCAAGACGGATTTTAATTTTTATTACCATATCTGCCCTACTCCATTTAAGGGCTTACCAAATCCGTCCCATTCGTGGCGAGGCGGAAACCAGCTCGGGCAGCGGAAATTGCCACCCCTACTTAGAGTTATTCTTAAGATGAAGGGTAAAATGTGTGAGATATAATATTGTAATTGGCAATAATCGGTGTCAAAACAAGTCCAATTGAGTTTTAATTTTTTGTTTTACTTTGAATCTCAAGTTCGGAAGTGGAATTGGCAGAATTAAAGTATTGGGGATCGTGTTGACATACTTCGGTTCCATGAGAACACATATTAGACAAGGTAAGTGTGTGAGGGCATTTTAGTTCCTTAGAAAATTTTCAAAGATCTACTTTACAAAAGTGCACGGGCTTAGCGAAAATTGTGGTTCTTCACGCAACCGGTTGCACTGGTTGTTTTGTCGAAATTCAATTTGAAAAATTACACTCCCTCAGAGGAACTGTTTGTGCTAAATGGAACCGGTTACGCATCCCTCGAACTAAATTGGAAATTTCTTTCCTACTCCAATTAGGTTACCTTTTGGGTCAGATTTTTGTGGCTAATGATGCACAAATTAAACTTGTTTTCCAAGTATTGTTAGGTCTAAAAAATCTGTATAAACACCAATTCTCACTTAGGGTTTAAGACAACTTTTGCATACAATTTTTAGGTATTTTTTGAGAGCTAAGTTTATGAGATTTTTTGATTGTTTATATTTCATAATTAAAAGCATTCATACTATATATACAAGAGTGATTTCAGATGTTATTCATTATCTGATCAAAATCCGAATCATTGACGATCCATTGATACCATTCAGAGAAAGCAGAGCCTTTGTTTATCTTCATCAAATTTAGATTTGAAGAAAAGGAGGGAGCAATTACACTTTAAATGGCTCAAAACATTCGCGAAGTGTTGTTTAATATACTAGCAATATTTCTACAAGAGTCAACAGAATAGGCCTAAGGTCGAGATATTGGATGGGGGTGTCGCAAAGCCGAAGATGGTCAGCAATTGGTTCTTGGTAGAGCGAGAGGGTGTGAGCATGAGTCGAAGTTCGTTGTACTTTGCTTCATATATAGTGAATCATTTCGCTCAAGACCGCACAATAGTCTCTAAGTTTTTTCTGATTGTTGAATGATTTCTCCAGCTAGGTTTCCTCCCTAAAACCCGGTGTCGCTCAAACTCTACTTTACTAGCATTATTTTTGCTTTATGATTGGTTAATTTAGCTTTCAATTCGGTAAATTTACCTTAAGAGAAAATTTGTGTAAAGCAACACGTTACACCTATTCACCTCCCTCTAAGTGTTTTTCAAACTAAATTCCACAACCTTTTCCGCTGCACAACTCACACTTGGTATTAGAGCAAAATTTAACATATTGAGTTGATCCTTGTGGAATATATATATATTTAAAAAAACTGTTTTTGTTTTTCAACAATTATTTACCGAAAGAGTGTGGTTCGAATCAACGTGGTCCTTTATTCAAAGGTGAAAATTATTCTTTTTAGAAAATCAAGATATGTGCTTATTTGCAAAATTAAGGTAAGAAAGTTTGGGCCATAGTTGAAAGAGAATATATTCCTTTGACTACTAATGAGATATAGATAATGAGCAAATAGATATGAAGGGAATTGATGAGAAGTTGTAATGTCACGGATTTTTCTAGATTTTTTTGAAATTTTATTTTATTTATGATAAGTGCTGAAATATTGCACATTTCAGCCATAATCTCAGGTAGTTTAGACCTTCAATCTATCTTTATTTTCTTGTTTTAGTACTAATTTGTGTTTTTGTCAATTTTAGGTCAATAAGCTTCAAACGGGCTAAAAACGGTTCATTGAAGCCTTTTTGGAGTCAAGCAAATGCACCGAGAAAAATCCAGAAAAGTTCAAAAAATCTGCCAAAAGGGGCTTACGATCGATCACAACTTCCTTGCGATCGATCGCAAGGCCACGTCATCGATCCTATTGCCATGTCATTGGATAAGTTATTCAGCCGTCATGTCATCTTTCGAAGTGCCACGTCAGCATCACGATCGATTGTAGGAAAGGTGCGATCGATCGCACTGCCACATCAGCGGATAAGGCAGCCAATTGTCAAGATAAGAAGGCCACGTCAGCACGATCGATCGTAGAAATTCATAATCAATCGTAAATCCCTGCGATCGATCGTAACTGTGCTGGCTACGAGCTATTTTATTTCCCGGTTTCCCCCGAACTTCACCTACCAAATGGCTAAGGGATTGAATCATTTTGGGGCTTATTTCTGACCTAATTTGGTCCTAAAGGTCTTGTATAAAAAGGTTTTTGGACCATTTTGTAAGGGGTTAGCTAATTTTAGATAGTTTTAGAGAGAAAAAGTTAGAGATAGCAATTAGGGTTTTGAAGTGGAGGCAAGGAAAATCTCTAGAATAGCCATTTCTCTAGGATTTCAAGCATCAAGATAAGGAGGAAGAAGATGAAGCAAGCTATGGGAATGCATCTAGAGGACTCATTGACTACATCTACACCCTCCATGTGTGGCTAAACTTCTCCTTAGGGCTTGGATGAGCCCTAAGCTTGTAATCTAAACCCTTTTCTTTCATCATTTTGGAGAATTTATGTTGTAATTGATGCTATAACCTTGTGTATATAATGAAATTTAGGTTTTCCTATGATTACTATTTCCGTATCAAAATAGGTGTTCACACACATTAATATATGTGACTCACAATTACAAGAGAGAGTATATGTTATATATTATATATTGTAATATTATGTATTTAAATTGAATTAGATTATTATCGAAACGATCAATCCTATATTTATATTCAATTTGTTAACTAATTAAATTGTCGAATTCAAATTATTATCAAGTATGGGATTAAGGGCCTCAATTCATATCTGACTTATCGAATTCCATCGAGTCTACTGAATTAATTACTGTATTTTCAAATAGATATATATATATATATACACACACACACATTGACTTCTTTATGACAAAAACAATACGGTACAAGAATGTTGGGTGACCAAATTAATTAGTTGATCTTACCTTTTCTTAGAGCATATAGCAAAGAAGGTGCTATTGCACATATAACTCTCTCAAGCTATCATTGAGAGTACTAGTGTTTCTGATGGCTGCTTCCGTTGGTGCAACTGTCGTTTATGATCGGATGAAAGAAGTGAAAAAATTCGATGAGTCCAAAATGGGAGTCAAAGGTCTTTCTGATTCTGGCATCACCACCATCCCTAGCTTCTTCGTTCACCCTCCCCAAACTCTCTACCATCTCAAATCTTCTTCCGCGTGCACCACCACCGGAATCCCAGTCGTCGATCTCTCAGACATAAATTCCGATGTCCATAGGGCGAAGATTGTCCAACAAATCTGAGAAGCTGCCGGAACTTGGGGGTTCTTCCAGGTGATCAGCCACGCCTTGCCGGTCTCTGTAATTGACCAGACCATCGTAGCCATCGAGTCGTTCCACGACCAGCCACCGGAGGTGAAGGCGAAGCACTACAAACGTGAGGAGGGACACGGTGTGATGTACAACAGCAACACTAACTTGTATCGAGCTCAGGCGGCCAGCTGGCACGACGCGCTGCAGGTGTGGATGGGGCAGGAGCCACCCAATGCGGAGGACATACCTGCAGGGCCGGCCCTGGCCCAAGGCGACCAAGGCGGTTGCCTTGGGCCTCAGATTTTAAAGGGCCTCAAGGCCCGTAGGGGATGGAAAAATAAAATAAAAGAAAAATAAGTTAGGGTAAGTTTCAGACGACACAATCTGCTTCCACACTCCACAGGGCGCAGCCTCCGCTATCGCCTCAGGTGACAAGGTATGTTCATCCTCTCTCTTTCTTCTATCTCCTTTTGGATGAATTGATCTTTTATGTATGTTTCTTTCTTTCGTTAATCTCATCATTTGA